CCAACCACCTCCTTTTTAAAGCTCTCTCTCACAGGAATAATTTTTTTCTTTTGGAATTTGTCTACCGGTTTTATTTATAATTGATTTTCAATGCCTTATATTCTGTTGTTAGTCAGTTTTGCATCTTTGAGACCAAAATAAATACTTGACAAGAATAACTTAGAGAAAGAGTTTATTTTGAACTCACAGTTTCAGAGGTCTTGGTCCATGGCTGACCAACTCCATTGGTCTGGGTCTGGGGTGATTCAAAACATCATGGTGGAAGGGTATGACAAAACAAAACAAAACAAAAAAAAACAACTTCTCAGCTCACAGTAATCTGAAAGCAGAAAAAGGGTAGAAGGAGCCATGGACTGATATGGTGTAAGATATGCCCCCAGTGACCAATTTCCTTCAGCCACGCCGTACCTACCTACCTACAATTACCACTCAGTGGTCCATTCAAATCATGAATCTGTCAAGTGGATTAATCCACTGATGAGATTATGGTTTTCATATCTTATCATTTCACTGATGAACATTCTTATATTGCCTAACACAAGAGCTTTTCAGGGACATTAAAATCCAAACCATAACATCTCCTCAAGTGGACTGTGTAGAAACCCAGGTTGTGAAGTGCCACAGTCTGTCTGGGCACAAAATAACCGAGCCGCCACAAAGCCTTGTAGGTTCAAACAGCAAAGCCTTGTAGGTTCAAACAGCAACTCCTTATTCCCGAACTCTCACCAGTACTCTACACACACTTCCCGGGAACATACTCCCTCCACCAGGCTCCGTGCGCCAATTCTCCCGGAACCCCTCGCGAACTCAAGGGGAACTCCAAAGTAGCAGCCTGAGGCAGCAGGATCTGCCCTAATCCCGGAGCCGCCCTAATCCCGGAGCAGGGTCACCTTTCAACCATTCCCTCTAGCAAAATGCCAGGCGTCATTCCGACTAAACTGTGGCTCTCAACAGTGAAGTAGGGTTATTTCTCTTTGAAAATTTTCTCTGTTCTTGCATTGTACCTAGCCCAGGTTTGTTCATTGTCTAAACCAGATTGTAATAGAAATATAAAGTAAGCCACATTTGCAACACATTGAAAGAAGTACAAATAAATAAGTTAAATCAATTCTAATCATATCTAATCTTACTTAGCTCCATATATCCAAATGATTATTTCAACAAGTACTCGGGTGAAAAAAATATTGAAGTTTTTTTTTACATGATTTTTATTGTACTAAGTCTTTGAAATACAACATTTATTTTGCACATCAATGAATCTCAATTAGGACTAGCCACACTCAAATGCTCAAGAGCCACATATGGTAGAGGCTACTATGTGGATGATATAGGTCTAAATGGTAAGACAAAGAAAATGTACTAAGGTGGATGATGGAGATTTTCCATGACTTAGGGAGTTTAGTTGAATTCTATAATCAATTAGAAGATACCATGAGTTTTTGTGAAGATTGAAATAATTTACTTTAACATAATGAGGGTATAGATTAGGAAGGTGAATTTACAGAAATCAAGGGTTATTTCTGTGTTAAAGAGCAAATGGAGTAATAGTAGCAGAAGTGTGTGGTTGGGGGAATATAAAAAAGTAAAAGAAAGAGTAAACAATAATTCTAAGGCATTAAGCCTGAAGTGTCAGGAGAATAGGAAGAAAGAAGGAAATTGGAGGAAGATAGCATAAGTAAGTAAGGAACTTATTTTAGCCATCTAGTTTTTTCAAGTTTTTCTCATCAGAGACTCAATTTAGAGCAAAGATGAGACATGAGGCCTGATAATGCAACTTTGGGGATCCATGCCATCAAGTTGGTTGAGCCTTAGGAATGGATCTCAGCTAAGATTGTGAAGGTTGATGGAGATAAGAATGATTCAAGAGTATAACCTTAAGAAGGCCATAATTAGCAAGCAGAACAAAAAGTTATCAAGATGATAGGAGGAAAACTAAGATATCATGGAAGCCAAGGTGGGAGGCAATTTCAAGAAAGAAAAGAACAGAAAGCAAGAGAGAATATGAGGCTCATGAAAACTGAGAACAGTCTACTGGACATGGTTAGGAAGACATCTTTGGAGCAATTAGGACCTTTGTCAAAGCTGAAGGACAAAAGAGGATGTCCATTAGTTGAGCTCTTTTCTAAAATCCCAGTTTTTAGTCCTTAGAATCACAGGCTAACTGAAGATGTTTGGATGGAGAAAGTTAACTTTTTGTTTTTCCCAGCAGATACAATCCCAGCAGGAATTCTGGCAGAAGGAAACAGAACCCAGCACAGTGCCGGTCGAATTCTGGGCGATTCTTGATTGATGGCCAAAGTAAAGAAAACCCAGCAAGAAGCCAAGTGACAGGATGCAGGGAAATGTGTAAGGGAAGCAGTGTAGGACTGAAAACCATTGCAAAACCATTATTTGGTCTTAGTTAAAAGAGAAACAGAAAAACATGAATTTAAAAGATAACTTGTCATCACAAGGACTTCTTGTACTCATTTTCAACCATTTATTCAACATTTCATTGCTTACCTTAAAGGATGGGCAAATGTGGAATGTGACCAATGGAAAGTCACCTTTACAAGTTTGAGATCAATATCCAGTGGTCTAATCATTTGGAGAAAAATGGAGGATTTTAACTTGAAGATTATAAAGTCACAAAGCAGAACTAATAATAATCAATTCATTTAGCCTTATTGATAGTTAAAGCAAATCCTTTGTCCTTGTGGACTTAAGATTTAGTTTGGGTTGTATTTGGCAAGTGTGGGAGGACAGGGTGTGGAATATATTCAACTACAACAGTACCTCGGAATACCCTGCAATTTCATAAACTTTTAGGAGTTAAGGTTTGTTTGTGAAATCCTCAGAAGGCAACAATCTTGGTTACTCCTGAATATGACTAAGGTGGATTTTCTGTTTCATTCCCAAGAAAAAAGCTTGGCAGATTTAAAAAAAAAAAAATGTTCAACTTATTTCAAATATTTCACTTCTAAAATTTTTATTCCACTTTCTCTTATCTCCAACAGTACATGTTAGAGCTCATACTAGATCTGTGGTCATCTTATTCTTTCTTCATCTACACAAAGTTTAAAAAGCTGAGAAATTATCAAAGATGTAATGCAAGACTCGGGGTTAATCAATAATTTCAAATAAGAAATGGAATATATTAAGACTAGTGTGTCAAAGTACTCATATTGGAAACTTATTAGAAAGAACTTGCTCATTTTTGTTAAAAGATGGAATGGTTTTTATTATTTACACATGGACACACTGTGTTTTTGTCCCAGGAAGTATCAAAATCAGATGGGCAGAATAAACTCTAGGATTGGTATTCTGACAAAATCAACAGTTTCTAAAAGTTGAATACATTTATTTATCCCAAATCATTGTGCTGCAAACTAATCACAGATTAAATACAGGGTATTTAAATAAAAATATATGGGGAAAGTGTCTTATATTTTAAAACAGAAATTTCTTTTTTTTTTTCCTTAAATGAAAATTTTTAAATTAGATCCTTTCCCTTGAAAATTAGATGAAACATCTTGAGTTTTTTAGTTTTCGCTCCTTTGTGCAATGCCTACTAGGGATTTAATTGGAATAGGAATTTGGTGTCAGTGTCCATACCTATAATTTTTCTAATGTTATTAGTGATCATTTGCATAAAAAATCTATTTTATACCTTGAAAATAACTTTACATTAGTAGAGTCTTCATCACTTAGGACATTTACTTGAACATATAATTCCCTAATAATCACAGTGTCCTTTAGGCCTGGAATTCCTTAATGGAATCCATGGATGACTAAGGGGTAATGAACTATGAAGACAGTAATTGAGATTTCGTACATGTACCATTTTCTTGAGGTGAAGTCCCCCCTCCACACCATTTATTAGTCTCTTGGTAAAACGTGCCTTAAAGAAAAACGGTTTAGAGCATAATATTAAAAGTATGTGTCACTGCATCAATATGAATCTTGCACTATGTCAAAGATATTCTTAGTAGATGAATAAAGCGACATTACTACAATGTTAAGGTAGACCTTTCTGCCAAACAAAAACAATAGTATAAACTTTTTGTTAAATTCTGTGCCAGTGTTTTGCTTCATTTGGATTAAAATTAACAAGAGTTTCACATTGTGACTCTAATCTTATCAGAGACTCCCAAAGTAAACAATAGCACAGTATGAGAGACCTTGATTGTGTAACTTCTGCTCTTGCTCTCTTGGAAATCGCAAATGCCATTTTCTTATAGACCCATTCCCAACAATCATGACTACCTACTCACGTTACTGGAGTTTTCAAAATACCAACTACACATTATTTATAAACTTTTATTTTCTTGGTGGAAGTAGTACTAATCGACAAGCATAACCATCTGGGCTTCTATGTACCATTATATTTATTATTTTCTTATTTCCCAATTGTCCTCAGAATGAAAAGTAAACAGGGGGGGAAAGTCCATTTAGAAGAAACTTCGGAAATGCTCCCAAGGTTATGTCCCCCAAAAGAAATGGAGAATTTCTTCTCCCGCCAAGATCCTCCTTTCCAAGCCAGCGCCCACCCACTGTGACCCAGGAGAGTGCACGCCCACGTGTGCCAGCGCTGCTGGCCCCAGGCAATCCCAACTGAGCAGAGCTGGACACCGCCCACCCAGAGGATTGGCCAGCTGCGGGACCGACCCGGTGGGAGGCGGGCTTGGGGAGGGGGGTCGGCAAGCGCGGGGGCGGGAGAAGGCGGTGCCTCCCCGCCCCTCGCTCCGCCCCCGGAGCGGCTACACAGAGGGACGCCCACGTGCCCAGCCCGCCTTGTGCAGCTCGGCGTCAGGCTTTCTACTCAGCGGGGACAAGCGAGGTGGCGGCCGTTCTTCCAGCCACTTCCAGCCTTGCGCAAAGACAAGCTCGCCCACCACCGCCCCCTCGGTTGGCCCTAGCGCAGCAGTAAGTTGCCGGGTCTGCGGCCGCACGGAGGGGCGGCCTGGGCGTCTGGGGCTGGCGGGGAATAAGTGTGGCGGGGGCTCTCAGGCCGTGTCCAGCTGCGCGCAGCTGCCCGGAGGCCGGGCTCCAGTAACTCTTAGGAGGAGATCCCGGGAGCTGTGGGCTGAGGCTGCAGCTGTAGACTCTGCAAGGCTGCGCTCCGCCGTGCGCCTCTCGTAGTCTAGCCGCGTCGGGCTGTGCAGCAGCCGCGCGGGTCGCAAGAGCTGGGAGAAAGCCTGACACCCGAACTCCGTGGGGGTCACTGTTGTTCCGCGGGGGCCGGGCACCCCTTCCCGGAAAGGCAGGCCAGTCCTGTGTCTGGGACTTACGAAAGGTCCCAGAAGTCGCCTTCTGCACCTTTAGGGTTCTTGGTTGAAATTTGGAACACGGCTTGGTTTGCTGGAAGCCTTTTCACCTCCGGCTGGAGACCTGGTAGGACAGGTAAAATGGCCCCTTCCTGGTGTTGAAATTGGCATTTTAAAGTAAATGGATGTAGTTTTAAACGTGTTTGAGATAGGATGTATCTTTTAAGTCCATTTTGTATCTTTTAAGTCCTTCAGCATTGAACTGGAAATTCACATCGTGAGCCATTAGCAATCATTGCTAAGCCCGTCGCCCCAAAACGCCGTTTCAACCAGCGTTAAACCTTCAGTTTTCACATATATTCCCATCTATGGAATAAGGTAATCAGAAATGGTACCGTGTAGCTGTATCAAAGAAATACATTTAGCAAAAGTCACAAAGTCATACAAGGCTTTGGAAGAGGAAACTACCTAGATTTCAAGAGTAAAAAAGTTCATTCTATTCAAACTTGAAAACACTTATGCAAAACTTTAAAAGAGGATTTTAGGTGACTCATTTCGGACTGATAAGACTGACCTAGATATTTGAACAGGGAATATCTTCAGATCTTACTGAAACAGAACTACCTGAATCTAGGGACTGGACTATGAAGTGTATGTGGTCCCCGGCCTGTTCATTCTTGCCTGAGCCTGTGTTTTAAAACTTTTTTTCCCCCTTTTTCCTCCCTCAGTACTACTAATAATTATCTTCTCAGGAAAGTGAAACGTTTTGTGTTTGTTTTCTTTTTCTCAACATATACAGGATAAAACCATTCTATGTTCTATACTTCCTTATGGTTACTTTGGGATATTAAATCCTTTTTCTTCTAACTTCACAGAAGATTGATATGAAATGGTGTCTCAGCGCAAAATGTGAACCTTTTTTCCTCCCTTTACTAAAATGTTGTTAGTTGGCTACTCCAGGGTGACTCCCGGAGGCCATGTTATATATAAACATATATATTGATTTTTCAAGTTTCCTGCCTTGATTTGTAAATGTCATTTGCCTTAAGCCATTTTAATCTTTTAAGGTATGGCAGGCCTTGGAGACCGGACTAAAACTTTGTGGTATCTGCAGAGATTCTGTTTGCAGAGTCCTTGACTTATTTAGCATATCAGCATAGCTTGATTCCAGAGTCTTCAGTCATTGTCATTGGAGTTAGAGTTAGGAGACTGTAAAAGGAGACTAGAAACTGGGAGGAGAGACATGATAGCTGTGTGGTCATTTGAGAAATCTGAGCATTCTCTGGAGTTTTTCATCTTATAGTTCTATGTATTTTTGCCACTTGAACACACGTGTCTGAAGAGTTTTAAAGTTAATGTTTCTTTTCTATCATTACACATGTGCTCACCTTTGCAGAGTGACAGTGCCTGGTCCCTATTTTCTTCTCATAGCTCATTTTTTGTCCTGACTGTTCTGTCCAGGAATGGAACCTGCATCTTCTTCTTTTTTTTGGTCATACTTTTTTCAAATGGTTCTTCCCTTGTAGATTTTCTCTGATGACTTCTCTTATTTAGCCTGGTTAATGTCTTCCTTTCTTGTTTGTTATATTTGTTTGCCCGATATCCTCTGTGTGTGTGTGTGTGTGTGTATATATGTGTGTGTTGTCAGAGCCATCTGCTGGCTTTATGTTGGTACCCTTCAGTGACCAGCTTTCAAAACACAATCATGAAAACACCCTTATATTACTCTTTGCTTCACTCTTTCACCAAAATGGGTGTGAACACATGGATCTTTGAAGACTGACTTCTTATTGCTTACCTGATGCCAAAACATTTAGAATAAAAGTAAAATTTTCAGTTGAATATATTTCTAAATTTTCACATTTGGTACTATGTGCATCATTTAAATGTTGTGCAATACAACTAAATACTTAAAGTTTCTCTTAGGTGATACCACTTGATGAATGGCTTAGAAAATGTGCTTATTCTAAACCTCTATGTAGTATTCAGATCCATATAGATATAACCTTGAAGAACAACAAAAAAAAAACGAATAAATTGTTCTTTCCATTGTCCTCTACTTTAGCAACACAGTCATCTCATAGCACATGGTTAGTGTGTCTCTATGGTTGAACAAATGCCGCTATGTGAACAATAATGTATAGCTCCAGCCTTGGAGGTATTTGATGATTATTTTCACCTTTGGGAAATTCTATGTTGATGGAGAATTAAAAAGAGCAATTTTTTAAATTTGCCATAACTGTATAAAAAAATAATACCACCTCTCAACAGATGATTTCAGTACTGTGCACATCAGAAAGCAGGTGATTAATGCATCTGATCTATGAAGATATCTACAAAGATGATCATTAAAAGCACATGTACTTAGCATTTTTGTTTGACTGCTAGTAACAAATTTATCCTGACTTCTCTTTTATTTCCTGTGCCTTTCTGGCTGTTTTAGAAGTGGTGGTGGTAATTATGAGTATGTGGATGCCATTTTGACAAAACTATGCCAAATGGGGATTCATTTTCCTCAGGTGCCAGCTACTCAAAACAATCTCAGCATATGATTCATCTATTAATTTTTTATACCTTTATTTATCTATTTATTTATTTTTACGCGGTGCTGAGGATCGAACCCAGCGCCTCGCACATGCTAGGTGAGCGCCCTACTGCTGAGCCACAGCCCAGCCCTCATCTATTAGTTTTTCCTGTCCAACTTAGTAAACAGAACTGGTATATGTTATTCTATGGAAACAAGGAGTATACTGTTGTTTTTCACATGCCTATGGACTCATAAACTTCAGGTTAGTTCTGAGAACCTCTGCTGTCATTGTGGCAACCTTCTCAGTGGTAAGTATAATTAGTGTTGACTTAAGGAAAGGTATGTGTAATTGTGGCTATTGCTTAAAAGACTGGATTTGAATGTAGATTATATCCCTTCTGTCCTTATTTAGGCTTAGTTTGAATCTCTGTCTACAGAGAGATCTGTGGTTCCCTGGTTTTTTTGGTGCCTATTGATTTGATACATTGTTGAAAATCTTGGTTTTTTCTTGACATGGAACTTTATTCATCCAAGATTGGATCATCCTGCTAGGGTATGTCATGTATTGGATTTTATTTCTTATTTTCCCCTTAAAAATGAAATAAATTATGAATCTATACCTGCACATTCTAGGAAAATAAAAAAGTGCTGTTGCATGCTATAAGGCAAATGATATGAGAACGTTACATGACCTTTCTTCTAGGAGTTAAAAAAAAAAAGCACTGTTATATTCATTTTTGGAATATTTGGTGAACAATACACAACAAAGAATTTTTATGTCCCTTGTTGATTCTTACTACTTTTTCCCACAGTTGTGGGAGAAAATTCTCTTAACCCATTCTGGCTTTATCATACATACAATTGTATCAAAGGCTCCCTAAACATACAATTATATTAAATACAATGGTGTCCCCCCATCAAAGCTCATTTCTTTCTAGGGGAGATGTAGTGATCACAGAGTATAGAGCTTGGGGTTTCTATGGAGACCAAACAAGGCTGTGATCCGGACACCTTCATTTTGTACTGTACTGGTACTCATTTCAGGGGTCATATAAGCAGATTGCACTGAAAAACAGATGTTTGTCTCCTCAGAAAGTCAAATTATAAAGTAAAATTTAAAGCTCACTTTTTACTGATTTTACTTCTCTGTTGGCAGAAAAATGTTGTGTGAGTTGATAACCTTGATCGTGATAAAAACATAAAGATTGTTTGGCTAGGGTATTTTCTTAATGGCTAGATACTTTGTCTGTGGTATCTAGCCATTATTTTGGTAAATGGTGAGTGGCAGTAGTCACTAGTGGAACTAACAGTTAATTTATATAGAACCTAAAAAAATAATAAAAATCTCTTTGCAATTTCTGCATTATTGGCTTCCTTAATATGAACTTTGGGCAGATTTTCTGAATTCAATACAGTTTCTGCTTCTTAAAAATCACAGACTTTCTAGAATTTGAAATGTGTTAGAGTGGCAGGACTGGGATATCATTTATGTATCACATGCAGTGTCTTATTTTATCAAAGCAAATAGATTCTTTGTGTTATAATCCCCTGCTCATCATTCATTCTGTATGGCTTCTAAAAGAAAGTATGCATTTAGTGGAAACAACTGAATTTGATTTTTGTGAAACTAATGTGTAAAATGTACCACTACTATGCAAAAGTTAATAGTATTTAGTAATTGTATGAGTAACCAAATTACTGAGTGGCATTTTGATACATGGAGATTCTATTGGAACTTTGAGTTTAAGAATATCTAATGGAGTTTTTCATCATCAAAATTTAGTTCATTCATCATGGATGAATGAATGTGTATTATATGTGACTGTGGACTGGGTCTAGGGTCTGTAGAGAAACACAGAATAAGTCACTTGGTCCCTGCCTCTGGGTGTTGACAAACTATTGAAAGATCTGAGAGAAAAGGTACAGTATTCTATGAGGTTATATTTTATTTCATTATTATTTTTACTTTGTACTACTGATGATTTTACCCATGGGAACTCTCCTACTGAGCTATATCCTCAATATTTTTATTTTTAAGAGAGGGTCTCACAAGTAAAAAGTTGCAATCCTTCTACCTCAGCCTCCTGAATAGCTGGGATTAAGGTGTTGCTCCACTTTGCCCACTCAAGAGATTATATTTTAGATGGAAATCACAAAGACTAAAATTCCAAAACTGCAATCAGTCAAATTAAGAATGTAAAGTTATGTCTTAATTTCTTACTCTCATTTGAATTGTTACACTGATTTTACACAAACTCAGTGAATTTACCACCCACAAATCCTGAGGGGCTTTCAGCTGTCCCTTCTATTATTGCTGCTGCAGCAGGAGACCCTCTGAAGACCACCCCAGAAAGTAGTCAGCATCTTCCAGTCTTGGCTTTCAGCTTGGCATGGATGAAGAACTAATAAAATGTTGATGGTGGAAGACATTCTTGTCCATTCCATGTTCTAGAGGGAAGAGTACTTTGTCAGAAAGAAAGGCATTCAGTTTAGTGACCTACCATTGGTTATTAGGTAAGTGTGTGTGTGTGTGTATGTGTGTATGTTTTTTAAGAATGCTTTCCTGTAATCTTCAATTCCTGTCAGACATAGCTCTTCTCTTGGACAGTGTAGTGATCCATGAAGAAGTGAAGGTGTGTACCACTGCCTCAACTTCCAAGTTTCTAGTTCTTTAAAAAAAAAAAAAAATCTTGGTAATCATTCCTGAGATAGGGGCACAATGGGGAGTGGGCAAGAAATTAACTTACGTTTCAGTCTACTAGGGACATTATTTAAAGGAGTGCTGGAGTGAGTCCATTTCTTCTAATTGAAAAAAACATCATGAAGATTTTGTTTAATGACCCTGGAGTACTGAGAATTTCCTTGATAATTCTTGGCAACACACTGTTTTCTTGACATTGTTTGTTCATCAGTGGCCAATGAATATCTGTCGTTTTAGTTCTTGGGTTAGATACTGGGTAAGCATTCATTATATTGTATTTTTCAGTGATATATGAATAAGATTTTACATGGACTTCCCCTAAATAAATTAGTGAATAAAATTTTCAAAAATCTCTCCTTTGTGTTTTTCCTTCAAGTAAAGAATATTTTTATTGAGCGAATTTTCCCCCTTATCCTTTGGAAGGATGGCTTTTTTCAGACATGGATTTTTATTTTTTTTCCTCCCGAAATTTACTGTGTTTTCACTTCAACAATGTTCTTGGTCTTTTCAAGTAAAAGGCACTTAGTATTTTTACATGGGGCCAATAGTTCAGAGGATAGTTGGAATTTATCCTAGGTATTTTTTTTCTGATAAAAATTCAAATAAAAAAGTTTCCTGACAGTTTGTATCAAATTGGATATGAATTCCTCTGGGAAAATTTCATTCCCCCAAATTTAAGCTACTCTGAATAGACTTTTTGTCTGCTTTAATGATCATTTTAAATAATACAGAAGGTTGAAAACCTTATTTTTCATTAGGTGCCCTTTATTCACAATTTATAATCTTGAAGTGATATTTTTAAATGTTTATGTAATTATAATTAGCAAAGCCAATATTAATAGAATTGGTCTCCATTTGGGGATAAAATTGAGGTCATTTTGAATTGCCAGAGTAACTTTATTAAATCTGTTACATTTCTAAACGAATTCCTTAAAGAATCTATGTGTATGTTCAGAGTTATTTTCCTCCCAAATCCTCTTCTCTTTGCCTTTTTTTTACATTACAGACAAATAATATAGACAAAATTACATTAACAGTTTTGGAGAAGTTAAAGTTCACTTTCTTGTTAGGTAGAATAGTTAATATTTACAACTTTGAAGTCCATGCTATTTGAGCAATCTCTGAAATTTAACTGCAGATCTGGAAGTACTGAGTAACTGGATCAAGTGGGAGAATTAAAGAGATTCAGTTTGAAAATGAATGAAATAATTTTCAGCAGTCTTTTCTAATAATGTTAGAAGGAAATACATTTAGTTTAGTGACCTACTAATTCAGTTTAGTACTTGAGCTAATGCAATTTCACCTATACTTTGTGTCTATAAGATAGAATCAGAAAGGAGCTCTTCCTCCTTTACCCTGATATGCTGTCCATTCTGATTACATTTCTAGTCAGGGACATAAATAAGAACCTCAGTTCACAGCAGCCATTCCGTATAGAAATGGCTTCCTTGATGTTTGGGGGAATATGTAGCTACTTTGTGATGAAATTGTGTATCCTCCCATTCCACTCAGTTCACTTCCTCATTAAAAAAAGAAAGCACATACAGACATTTAGACTGCACCCCAACACCCAACAATTTTGTGTGAGATTTGTGGAAGTTCAAGACTCCCTATATACCAACCAGTGCACAGCTGCTGTTTTGAGATACTAGGACAAGAACCTTGTGGTCAGAAACCATTTTAACTCCTCGGAAAAATATTGTAGGAGAATTCTCTGCAGGATGGGGGCTTGGTCATGTACCCTTTCCTCTTAATGATTTAAGATGGATTTTGGTCTTCAGGGAAGGACTGAGAGTGGCTCTGTGGTAGGTGTGGCAGTGGGGGGCACTCTGAGTCAAAGAGCTACACTAGTAATACTGGGGTGACTGTTCCACAGTAGAAGCTGTTCCTGGCCTTGAAGGAACATTTTGGACTTTAATTTCGTGCATCACCATCTTTTCCTTCAAATTCTCAGACTCACAGATTTCAACATGTGCCTCTGGACCAGGAGGTAAATTAATTCTGAGGTTTAGCCACGATGATTTTGAGTATTTGTAAATGCATCCATAAACAGGAAGAAAAAACAAGAATGAATAGGAATAGTCAGTATCCTCTTTAAAGTTGAAGCATCTTTAGAGAGTGACTGTGAAATCCAGTCTTGCTGCCTTGGTGGATCTTGTGGAAATCTCTGGAATTTAATAAACTCCCAGTAGAATAAAACCAAAGAGGTCATATACTAAAGAGCAAGGGAAGCATCATTGTGGGCATTGTTTTTAACGTGTAAACCCAAGGCCTTTCCTCTTCCTTGTGTTTAGTAATGTGCTGAGTGAATAATAATAAGGCAAAGTGAGGAATTTGAGAGTTGATTCTGTGCAGAAGTTCTTGCTTGATGCGTTGTTAGGATTTGTAATGTTTTGTTGCACCAAGGGGAAAATAAATCTTTTAAAAATGCATCACATTTAGTGGTTATGTAGGTGGAGTAGGTTTGTGTGTGCACTATTCATCCAGAAAATAGCACAAAACAGATTCACATGCCATTGAGGAACAATCGTGGGTGTTGATAAAATTCATAGTACTAGAGCTGTGAAAACATCAAGGCTGGTGCTTGTTTTAAACTCTCTGAAACTGGAAATTTCACCTTTGAAAAAAAAATCACTTTTTCATTAGATGGTTGATGCATGAATAAGGCTTGGTATCCTGGAAATAGTTTGATTTTATTACTGTAAAAATGGTGAGGGACTGGGGCGTGATGGTCTAGCATGCCTAAGGTTCTGGGGTGGATCTCCAGTACTCTGGGGCATGGAATTTGGTTTTGTATTTCAAGCTGTAATCAGTATATTTAAAACTGTCCTAAGGAAACTTTCTAATGCTTTAGAAGTGTTCATTTCTCCTTCCCTTGGCTGTGGAGGGTTTCCAAGTTCCTGGGGCTACCTATGAGCTGAGCACAGTGCTACTACATGCATTTGGAAGGGAAGTAAACTCCCAAGAATGACATTTTAGAGTACTTTTTTAAGTTAAGACGCTGAAGTCTAGAGATGTGTAAGTCAGCTGATGTTAGACAGTGAGAAACCAAGCGAAGACAATAGTCCAAGCATTTTGACTTGGAAAACATCCTGATTTATATCGGGCCATTCTGCTTTCATGAAAGAAAATCATAATAGCTGTCACAAACTACCATGTGGAATTTTATAAATAGGATTAAAATACAATTTTAACTGAAAGGTTTTTAGATTTAAAAATTTCTTGGAGCTTGGTGTGTTTGATAAGACATTTTAGTAGTGTGACATTCTTAGCATATGAACAATTTTATTAAATGTCATACATTTGTGGAAAATGAGAAAAATATAGCCAATCTAAAACATAAAAAGCATTGTAAATATGGGTTTTAAAGCCATTTACAGTCATTAAGATTTAAACCTCATAAATGGTGCTTGTGTAAAAGTAGGTCTGTTTGGAGTGCTATTGGGGTGTGTTAAAAAAAGAAAGCTGTGTGAATTTTTACTTTTTCTGATTTTTCTAGGTAACAGATGGTTTGCACTTAGTTCAGTGACCCAAACAAAAAAAGAGCAGACTTTGCATAAAATTTCTGTTGGTAATGCATTTTATCTTCCCTGAAATGGATCATATGAACTTTTTGGATAATGAATAACATATTTACATTGCTCTGATCAGTTTTGCTACAGAACACAAAAGATATGTGAAGGACAAACAACCTAGTATTGTTGCTTTAAAAGTTATTCTTGTGGGCTGGAGTTGTGGCTCAATGGTACAGCGCTTGCCTTTCATGAGGCCCTGGGTGTCCATCTACAACTAAAAAAATAAAATAATATAATTTTTTAAAAAGTTATTTCTGTAAATTAATTTAAATTTTTTTTTCTCTTTTTACTGCATTGTTACCTCTAGGTATGCCTGGTATCTTTTTCAAAGTGCTAAATTGTTACTGTGACTTTAAAAAGGGAAAGCACTATTTGTAAAGATTTTAAACTTTTAAAGCTGCAAAGAGCCACATAATTTCTGCAAATCCAGTTTTGAAGTATTGGGTACTGATCCAGTTTTGAATCCATTGTTTGTCTTTGTTGATTGGATTTTCATGGTGGGCATCTGGGGAGATCTACTAGCAGAGTGTGGACACCAGCCCTAATCTTCAGGACCAATAGTAGTTGTACATTCAAACTCTCTGTTTTAACAGTGTAATTTACCACATGTAATTTTCATGCACTACATATTATACCAGAGGAATCAGTAAAATTGAACTATGTAATTTGACTTCTCATTTTGTATTCATGAATCAAAATTAAGGTTGTTTTCAAGAATTGATGGGGGGGTGTTCTTTTTTAAAAAACTAAGTATAAAATAAAAGGAAAAAATTATTATTTCTTTTTCTTCACCCCCAGCAAAATGATAATATGCAGAAAAATGTTTTAAGGAGCAATTTTTCTCTACTGTCCATTTGAATAGAATACCTACTGGAATTATTTCCTGGGTTGACATTTTTCACATCTTTAAAGACATGATATTACTTGTTAGCATTAGTAAATCACGAGATTCTAGACTCAGAAGCAGCCTACACATTACATTTCATTTCAAGCAGAACCATGTCTGACCATTTCTCATAGGTGTGTGTATTATGTAGAGAGAGACATATCTGCAGAAAACTCAAAATATTTCCCAACTTGTAATATAAATAATATTTTCGTATTTAAAGACAATAAAACATTGAGAATATCTGTAACTGTAATGGGGGAAATCAGCATTTTCCCCTTAGCATCTTAACCCCTCATACTACAGTGCTGATTTTTCCAAATTAGTTTGGTGGCTAGGAAGACAGGGAGGG